TGATGTATCATTCGACTAGGTGCAAGCATATTTTTTTAGTTTCACCAAAGATTATAAAGTTTTTATTTTCAAATTTTATCCGCATCCAATCAAAATTGTGTTGCATAATCGACTCTTACAGGAACCAAAGTTGAAAAATACGTAAATAAATTTTACAGATGTATTCTACAATCCATACTGAAAATAGTACATAATACGTTGATATTTATTTGAGTGGCCCCAAAGACCTTTTACCAGCCCACTAGTCATCATCTCATTCGCCCTCCCGAAAAAAATTAGTCCACAAGCCGAAAAAAATACGTAGCGAATGAGTTAAATAAAGTACAAATGGGCACATTAAATGTTACGTCCACGATTTGAGGCTCTGTTTTTCAATTCAATTTGTCAGAAAATATATATAATATTAATAAGCGTTGTTCATTGCAGAGACAATATCCACCATTCATGCAATACGTGTCCATTCCACCAAGGTTTAAGCACTCCAATAATTAGGACCAATACAAGCGCGAACACACTTTTACGTTTCTTTGATTTCCCAAATTTTTGCTAAGCATGTTTTTTAAAGGTTTTATTAATTAGTTAAGAGGTCAATTTTGAGTGACCATATTTTGGGCGACTCTTAACATAGAGGCCCTACAGCCTATAGTGCGGTCAAAAATTTGTGGCTCAACTTTTCCTCAAATATCTTTTTAACGGGAGAATCAATGTCACCAATTTGTCTAATCTTAATCATATTTTTTTACAACAATTGAGGCTATTGGCAATATTGAAAAATTTTGTTTCATTAAGTTTTATATAAAATACTACACATCACGGATTCATAATATCTTGGTCTTACAACCGAAAACAAAAGGACATGGCAAATAGCAATATAGTTAAAGAGGTAAATCAGAGGCTGTACTTTCCGAGGAAACTTTTATCTGAATCCATCCATCCTTCAGATATTTTACACCACCACAATAGAAACTTTGATAAATTTTGGTATCACTTGCTATGGTAACAATTTGGGAAGGTAGCACATCATAAAAATTTAAAAACAAGTTAGAAAGGCATTCAAGAACAATTGATAGAGACCTAAGTAACTTTAAATATCTGCACAAGACAAACGTTCTAAAAAAAGCGGAAATAATGCTTAAAGTGACCATAGCCACCAACTGACATCGGAATTTCAAATATCGACCCACAGTAAACGAAACATTTCCGAAAAAGCAGGAACAGACAGATACAGAAATTCATTCGTACCAACTGCAGTGAGGTTACTGAACCAGCCAGGGCTTGAAACTCTGGATGTAAACAAATGGATAGTGGACTTTAACGAACGGAACTCCAATCAATACATATATTCACTAAACCCACATGGAGAGACCCCCCAGTCCTCTCTACTACTACAGACACAACAATTTACACACATGAAGAGACCACAGTCTCTCTTAAATCAAGTAGCAAAAATCCAGCACAATAGTTCAGGTATCAGCTCATAGTTTAAGTTTAAGGTCAATTTATTTCAATTGTCTGTGTTATGTGTAATGTGCGAGCTGGATTGGAAGCAGATGAAAGTGATGTCGAAACGATGGCTACTAGATCTAGATCTAGATTATCTAGATCTCTAGATCTAGTACTGGCGTTTCAAATAGCATGGACGCTTTTCAGAACGCGGAGTTTCAAATAGCATGGGGGGAGCTGCCAGTCTAGCCGTACTTATCTTAGGCCCTATTAACATTAAAAAACAGGAGGTTTAAAATACATGCCCTGTCATTAAGGTACCTGGTTTCGTCTCAAATACAAATACTTTAGGTACTGCACACTAAAAATACAATTCAGTAGGCCTATTTTTTGTAAATGGTCAGTCTAGCCATCATATTAAGAATAAGTACGGTTACTAGATTCTAGATCTAGATCTAGATCTAGATTCTAGCCGTCATTAGATCTATGTACGGCTAGCCTCTTCCAAAAATTTACCCTTAATTCAATAACATTGGTGTTGAGACAGAAACAGTCGATATCAACAGCGTCACACACTGATTCGCTGACATAGATCTGTTTCCATTACATTTGATCTTCCACAAACTTCTCTTTTAGGAGTGCTTAGGTTAGGCCTATTTGATCTCTAGATCTATACTAGATCAGCCTTTTCCTCGAACACAACTACATCTAGAGAAAGTTATGGTTTACTTTGTGCTGTGGGTAGCCTATAGTGGGCTGGGCAGTCTCACAGCTTCAACTTTAAACATTGAACTAGATCTAGATCTAGATTTAGATCTAGATCTACGTCAATTAACTTTAAGTGAGAAGCGGAATTCAAGATAAAAATTATAACCACTTTGTAAGCAATTTGAGCGATCTGATCCATCATAATCCGATACTGCATGCGTTTTGAAAACTACAAAATAAACATTTAAATGTTACTATTGTTACTATCAGATCATGCTTAGAAGACAACTTAACTGGTATACTAAGAAGACGACAATTACTTGGCTAACAGTTTAATAACATGCCGAATTGCTCCACGTAGAGCCTTTGGAGCCAGTGTGCAACGTCCATGTAGGCCTATATTAAAAAGAAACATATTCAGACTCAACATTATCCAGTAGCGTTTCAATTTTGCTTAAATGAGAACAATTCGTGACGTTTTTAAAATGAATAATATCAGTTGATATGTTTATAGCTGTGCTGAGTCATTCATTTTGCCTTACCAACAAGCAAACTTGCCAGTTGAACTTGAAACTTATGAAATCCTGGAAATCCTCTGATAACAAACAAAACTAAAAAGTACACAACATCAATAATAACAGTAAATGAATAGCCTAGATCCAGAAGGCTATGTAAACGTAAACGAAACTGAAAGTAATGTCATCAGAGAAGTCTTTTGTCGCCGTCGGTGGAATACGAATCCCCAAAAGAAACGGGTAAATGGCCTCCGGGTAAATTACTGTCTAATTTTAGCTTTGTGTCAATATTTTCATTAATTTGTGTCATGCTGCAAAGAATGGTACTGACATTGAGTATTGATTGAGAATCGGAGCCGGAGGCCGGAGGAGAGATCCCATGGTTCCGTGACTTTCATACACACGCTTAAAAAAAGTTTTATATAAACACATATCAGAAAACCGCATTCAGTTTTATCACAAAAACTAACACCAGCGTCCATTCGCGATATAAACAACGAAAGTGGCTATTCTCACCCGCCCGGAAGTTCTCGCAAGATCAACTCTTCCCCTCTTCTTTCTCTCTCTGTCTCTTTCTGAATACTGTCTATCGGTGTGGACGATCAAATTGACCAAAACAAAGTTAAAAAATGATGTTAAAACACAAAAGTAAATTTATTTGGTTGTCTAAAAAGATGCTACGGCTATTTCACTTTTCGAATCGAGCCGAACTACGCGGTC